TTTGTTCTACAGCTTCTATAGTTTCCTCTATATACACATTTTCTGTTGATTTCTTCATGCTGTTCATTGCAACTGTAGTAGAATCGTTTAAATTACCGAGCAATTCAAGTAAATCTTCGCTATCACTTGTATCATCGTATTCATCGTATGAGCTTTGATTTTTCGGAAACAGTTCGGGCTCGATTGTGTCGTTCTCAACTTGAGCTTCTGTAATCACTTTCACTAAGTGTTCATCTCTATCTTTCTTACATTCATGTAAAATTTGAATATTATCGATGATATTGCGCGAGTGCGCAGATATATGATGCTGACGAGAGTTAAGTGCATCTTCCCATTTCTGGTTCACATCACAAAGATCAGATACAGTTCGCCAAGGCACAAAAAGTGTAAGAATAGCTCGACAATATCTTTCTAGGGTGTCTTCACGACCCCACCGAGGTATTTGAGGACCATAGAGGATTCGTACACGATATTTCGTTTGTTTTATCATTAGGTAGGTTGTTGCTTGAGAATGTTGTTTTTGAAAAGAAAATCGTTGATTAGGTGGTCGACTTCTGCGGTTATTCTGCTCTTCTCTTCCTATAGAGCTATCAGCTAAATATTTTAAATCAGACGCGTTGATCTTTTTTTATAAAATGCACTAACAAAATCGTATAAGCATAAATTCTTCAGAATATCTGATCGATACTGATAATCAATCCGTCCGTTAACTAGCACGAAATCGTTTCCAGTTTCATTTTTAGCAGATTTAATTTGAAAATTTTCTTCATTATTATTTTCATCGTTAGGCACATTATCATTGCGTTCATCATAATCCATGAGGACGTGGCAAATCTCAAACTGTTACCAGTTTGAAAAACTAACCGTTAAAGTTTTTAAATCTCATACTCTTACAGTTTCTACCGAAGTTGAAACCATATCGCACATCGAATACCAATTCTAAACTTTCGAATGAAAGTTTCTAGTTCTCAATCCATGATAGACCAATGTGTATCACTGTGGTACCTCTATGCCTAACACTTGGCAGATAACCAGATATCAGATATTTACTTTCTTGTTAAAGTTTTTGTTTTCAATCGATGAAAGGAAACGGTATGGTTTGGTGTATTTCATCGTCTGAGATGAAATATATAATCATGTATGACGTGTTTGATCGTTTAAAGCGTCAAACTTAATAGCATAGTAGATACAATAGATTTATTGCTAGTGTTCCCAGAATCGGTAAATTTCAATAGTACATAGAGTCTTTTGCAAAGTATTTGTATATATGATTTGCGCTGTAGACTAATAGCAAAGGTGTGGAATTGGACCGATAGATCTTGTCGGAAAATGTGCGATCTGATGCGGGATTGACTCGAGAATTTATGAAATCGTTAAACGATTGAGTAGATGTGACAGAAGTTCTGTGCTATCGCTATGGGTTGGAATGCGGATGGGAATAAGTCAGAAAATATTTCGTCGAATCCAGGTAGATCAGGCAGCGGATTGTATGGTATCTCATAGAAGTTATCAGGTGGGACAAAGCATATAAGATCAGGTGTCATTGTATTACACGGGA